TTTTTTATTATTAATTTATTTAAAATTTGTTCTAAAGAGAAATACAATACTTACATTTCATTGTCTTCCCACTGAGCCCTGCTTTTGAAGAGGCTCTGCCTTCAAACTTTTTCCACTGCAGCATTTAAAGTTTAAGCCAGACAATCTCAAAAAGAAAATGGCTTAAAACGTCGGGGGTTGCTCTATTGTATAGTTCTGTTTTATTCTCGCTGTCCTTGGAACAATGTATATGAAAAATATATGACTGTGGTAAAGGGAGGAATGTGCATTGTGCGTGTGAAGCAACTGTAGACACTGCTGTGATGGATCGAAGCTGGAGGCAGTGCACTACATGCTTCAGAACACTGATTGCTGAGTTGTCACAGAATGCAGAACAGTTTGGAGATCCCACTGTCAGTCTGAACTCAAGTCAGTTTGAAGATCACGAGAGATTTTGAAATCACAGAAGGCTGTAAATGTTTTTGAGTGTTCCTTTCTTTCCCATTGCCGGGGGAGGAGTGTGACAGCTCCAAACTTGGGGGAAGAGTGGTAAACCAGATTCATAAAGTCCTAAAATTTTTATGATGCCGCTGTGCCTGCTTGTTTTGGCTTCTGTACAGGAGAAGTCAAAACAACAAGGACTTCCCAGATCCATGGCTGTTGAGAAGGACCTCTGAGGGAACCAAGCCTCTTCAGCACTGAGCTATACTCATCAGCCTGTGGGTAAATCTGGGTGATTCATTCAGTAATCCTCTGGTGGTATGGTGACTTGCACTGTGGTGCTGAAACAGGAGGATTATGAGAGTAAGATTATCCTGAGAGGTTTGGTAGTCTGTACCCCTTTTGAGACTTTGAGGTTTGCAGCTGATGTGTAGTTTTAACAGTAGCAGAGATCTGATACTCTCAGCAGGGTCTTAGCTTGTATTCCAAATTATAGCTGCAAAACACTGCTTTGAAGTCAGTAAACTTGCATTTTTTTTAGATAGAGGAGGCTCTGCATTTGCTGAAGAATTGCAACTCAAATTGTTGAGCTTGAAGACTTTATGGTAGGTTACCAGCAATCCTCTTTCCTTGCAATGGGATGTGATATAATAATACTAAAAAAATAATAAAATATGGTACAGATCTTGGATCTTTGGCAGTGTGTCATTGTACCCTTGAAGGTGAAAGAAGCAAGAGAATGGAAACAATGCTGTCTTGTCAGCTAAGATAGGTAAGGTACTGATGACGTGTGGCAGCTTCAGCAGCTAGGACTGCAGTTTTGGCTGCTGTCAGCAGAGGCAGCTGCCCTGCTGATCCTGAGGGGAGGATTGAGGTTCTCTTGTCCCAGGGAGAATGGGGTCTGAGGATGACCTGGGTGGGACCGGGGAGCCACCTGGGCTGAAGAAACAACCAAGGAAAATGGAAGAGTCCTTCTGCCTGTGGAGCTGGGGCAGGTTTTGGCATCTCTGCAAGCTTTTGGATTAAGGGAGGGAATGGAACATGAGTAGATCTTAGTGAAGTGGGCAATGTGGAAAGAACTGGAGTGGGAAACAGTAAAGGAGCAAAAAGGGATGGAGTATCCTGTGAACTAGGCGAGAAGTGTATTCAGGGGGATCAGTAAAGAGAACTAGGAATAAGAAACTCTTCCAGGAGAGCTGGAAAAGAAACAAGCTGCAGAGCAAGAAATAGGCTCAATTCATAATCACATTTTGGTTGGAACATCTTGACTTCACTGAAGAGTCTGGTCCTTTCCAGAGCAGATAAAATATTTCTCAGTCGGGTTGCCAATTTTATTTTGATCCAAGAAGTCAAGGACAGTCCTGAACACTGGCTTGTTAAAGAGCAGCTCAACAACTAATGAACTGCAGTTCAAATAAGTCTAAATTTCTTTTGTGAACCTCAAGTGCAGTGTTTGAATGCATTAAACAATAGTGAGCTGATGAATCGGCCTCAGCATACAAAGGCCTTTCTAGGCAGCAGGCAAAAGGCTTCATGAATGCAGAGTAAGAAACAGATCCAATGATTTTAATCCCAGAAGGAATACATCCCCCACTGAAGTGAGCGGGAAGAGCCACAGTGCTGTTGTGAGGTTTTTCTGTCTGTGGTGGAGAGCCTGTGTTGGTACACCATCCCACACAGCGTCTGAGGGGTTAGAACCTTCTTCTTGCAGACCAGCTCTACCTGACTTGTGGATTGTTCTTGTTGGTTTTGTTTGAATGCTGCTCTCTAGACCCTCTGTCAGTTGTTAAGGGCTCCTTTCAAAGGGCTGCTTGGATAATATCTACCGGGAGATGCTGAAACTGAGAACGTTGTGTATCAAAGCAGAGAAATGTAAGACCTGTTTACAAAACCAATGAGGTAGTTTATTTGATGTAGTCTGTAGCGGTATGTTTCAGCTGACTTGTTTTGAAACATGGAGTGAGAGCCTATTTGGTAGCTAGCGCAGCCTGAGGTCACATCATACTTCCTCTCTGTATGTATCATGACATTTCTTGCCTGTTGTCTTTTCAAAGCTGCAGACCACAGGGGACTTCGCATGAGCTCAACCCATGTGTGCTTTACTTTTTTAAATCTCTGAGGTGCTGTTGTTTGGAATGGTAGAAGTCTTCAAGAGGGATTTTAGAAAGGTAATCAAATATGTGGAGAGGAAGAGTCTCTGTAAGTTCCTTTACAGAAGACAAGGCTGTAGTTTATGCATTAATAGATCTCTAAATTCATGTATAGGAAAGGTATTTTAAAAGCTGCCACTGGAAGCCGAGTCTAAGGTGGGGCTCGTAATCAGGGAACAGAACCTTAGGAAAATGATGCATATCCAGAATGAATTCCTTACTGCTTTCAGGCGTAACTTTCTAGTCTGAAATTTTGTCTCAGCTCTCATAATGCTTGACATTAAAGGGAAGAGCTTTTGGGAAACCTCGATGTTACCATAAAAGCTGACTTATATTTTTTTTGTCTAAGTTACCAATTATAGTATTCTGCTTTCTCACCCTAAGCTGCAGATGCAGTCACTTGTTGGCAATATATTGTCAGTGATGCCATCCATTTGTATTTGCTATTCTCTGTTTTAATATGTAACAAAATGGTGTGAAATTCCACCTAAGTTGTGCTGACTTGGAACTAAGTTTTGTTCTCCTTGTTTAAAAAGAGGTCTATTGTACTAATAACGACTTGATTAAAATCCACCTAATTATGCGATTGCTTCAGATCCGAGAGTTTCTGGGGACCATATTTGTGTAGTTTCCTGTGGAAACACGGCTCATGGGCTGCGGTGTGCGTGGGCCATGTGCAGTCACATTCATCTCCAGACGGATTTTTTTGGCCTGCTGTCTGCTGTGGGCCATTGTGAGAGATAAGAATCTTGCGGAAACAGCGTCGTCCAAGAAACTGTGCTTCCAAGTTTTAGGAAAATAAATAGCTAATAGAGGGGAGTAGCTCTGCTCAGGCTTCGTGCGGAAAAATCTGCAGCGCCTGAGCTAGCAAATACAGAGGAGGAAAAACTATTACAAAAGCCTAAGCTTGTGGAGGTCCTTCCTTTGGGATTTGCATCTTTGTGGGCAGCAAACTGAGCTAACTACAAGGTGTGGGAAGTGCAGTTCTGGTGTTCATAATGAACTATGGCAGGACGTTAGGAATGAAGTCTTGGAACACTGTGCAGGGTGAAAAAAAGCATCCTGACTTGTTACAATAATTTGGTTCAACTGATCATTTCTGACCATGGTTTTGTTTCTCTGTTGGTGGATGTTAGTCTCTTACCTGGTTTCTGACCAGAGATGGGAACTTCCTCACAACCCCAGCAGTATTTTGACCTGCCTCTTGCTCTCTGATTTTCTTTTATTTTTTTTATTTTTTTCTTTTCTTTTAAACACGAGCAACTGAAGAGAAATGGAGCTTTGCAAGCTGAACAAGCAGGTGGACAAATGGTGTGGTCTGAACTGCCAGGGAAGGCAGCATTGGCTTCTCTTCCTTGTTTTCTTTTGGGATTTTGGAAAACGATGTAATGGCCTTAGTGGATGAGCTAAGTAGCCAGATTGAAGTAAGCTCTTAGCATCTGGAAAACTGTTTAAACCATGGGGGTTTCCTAGTCTGTGTTAGTACTTATGTTTGGGGGCTTAGTTTTGCTTTCTAAGTTGGTTGTTTTTTCTGAGTCTGATAACTGCATCCTTCTCCTTTGGTTTTGTTCTTTAGTTGTGGGTTTATTTGCAGTTCTTTTGTTTTCTGGGTTTTTGCTAAGGCATTCTGGTTGGTTTGTTTCAGCAGCTTAGAAACCTGGTAGAGGAGGTAAGGCCTAAAGTCTCACTGTTACCTGGTTCAAAGGGACTTTGACTTTCATCTGATGTCAAGTTAGACTCTAGAGTCATCTTTTAAAGGACAGACAGAACTTCAGACCCTAATACATGATCTAGACAGGAAAAAAAAAGAAGCTTCTTCCAACTCCTTAGTTCTCATAATTATTAATTTGAATTTTAGTAATTTGTAGCTGAAAATACAAAAACATTAATATTCTTTCTGTTTTAAGACAAGTACTGAAAAAACTGAACTGCTCTGGTATATGTAAATATACTTGATCCATTCCAAACATATTCTGATAACTTCGTCTTCATGAAAGCTCCAAGGAATTATCAGCTCTCTAATTGGAGCTTTAATTTCTCTTTGGGTTAAGATACAGTCTTTCAGCATGTTTGCATATCTACATCTGATTTCTTTAAAATGTATTCTGAAGAATTCTTTAGTGATCTGTTTTATATATCTAATGCTTTTGTTTCAACAGGTAGCACTACTGGGATTAGATGTTCTAGGTGCCTTTGTCGACAGACTATCAGGACGCTTTAAATCCTATATAGGAACTGGTAAGTGAAATATAACTTGATTTTTAAGACCAAAAAGTAAAAGACATTCTTCTCCTTTGCCCGCCCCTCCGCCCCCAGCAGCAGAAGTGAAACATGTTGAAAGCTTTCTGAGCTAATCATAGTGGTAGACATCTTACTGCTACTGTTGGAATGTAGATAATTTTATATTAACTCGTAAGCAGTCATTTGTCATGCAACTGTTGGTTTCTAGGTGGGGGTTGAGATTTTTGAAAGGTTCCAGGAATATACCTCTTCAGTAATTAAGTTCATGCTATATAGTTGCTCACCACTCCTATGCTATCTATGTACTTGCTTACCAGTCCCCAAGACAGTCATCTACAAATGACACTGGAACATGAGTGTTACCTTTAACTTGTGTTAAAGACCGAAAGTTTTATTTGCAGATCACTTTAAGTAGAGCCTGACATCTGCTGAAGCCTGTGGTCTCGGAGAACAATGGGGTCTACCTCCTCTGAGATAACTAGCTTTTAGTAGTCTAAACTTTTTATGGGGTGGAAAAAAGGACTGTTGTTCCTGTGTGAATGTTTACCTGGATGAAATTCAAATTAGTGGATCTGCATGTGCCTGAGGATGAAACAGTTGTGCTGGGAGGTGTGAACAAGTGACGCTGCCCAACCCATTTTGCTGGTGTCCTTGAAAAGAGATTGTGCTACTGGAGCATTGACATTGGTGTTATATCACTGGCTATTTTTAACAGGAGTTTCTAGTTGAATGTCCTTTCCCAAAATTTGTGTAATTTACCTTACATCTTGTTCCCACATATTCAGTTACCTCCGATTTTTCTGCTACAATGTTAAGCCTCCTCTTCTTTATGTGTCTACTTTTGTATTTAAGAGTTAAGAAATCGGCAACATCTGCAAGTTTAGGAACACAAAGAATAGCGTGGCAAGTAACTAACCAAATCGACTGGAAGCCTGTTTCAGGGTGCTGCAGAACTACTGCAGCAGTGCTGCAGAACTGGAATCTGTTGTTGCTGAGGATTTTCATTCTGTACTTGAGCAGCGTAAGGGCACTGGGGGTGTACTGTGCTGTGCAGAATATTGATTTCTGAATAGTCTCTGTTGCTACACACAGTGCTGGGCTTCAGAGTTTTACTCTGTTTTGATTTATATTTTAGTGGTGTAACTTAAAATTACAGCAGCTTTGTTAAAGGTTGGAAAGCTTTATTAATTTCTCTGGTTTTGTTTTTTTTTAAGTGTGAGCTACTTCAGAATAGGTTGAAAACACTATTTGGTTTTGTCCCAGTAGTTGAGTAGTTTGAGATTATGACCCTGTAGCATTTATATTTAGAAAACCAAAAGGAGTCCTGGCACTGGGTGACCATGGAACATGTGTAACATCAGTAGGCATCTGAAGCCATGTATTCCACAAGTACCTTGTAGGAGAGTTCAGTAGTAGTGCCTTCAACTGAAACTGGTTTTCTGAGCATCTCCAGAATCAAGACCTGTGGGTGTATTGTGCTGAATATACAAGTCACTGTTGTGCATGGTTAGCTTTTAGGTAAGCTTAACAGACACCAAAATATTAGTCTCGGTAAAGGCAGAAAACAATCTTTATTTTAGATGACTTTTTAAACAGAGTGATTTATGGTATGAACTCTCTTCAGTCAGTGGCTGTCTCTCCAAGTCTTATAACACGATCTGAATAGCTTTCAATTTTTGTCAGTGAAGCAGTAACACAAAAATTTCGTTGTAAATATCTGGCAGTGGGGGTAGCCCAGGGTTTACGAGAGTAATTAAAAGCACACTGGTGAGCAAAAGAACTGCTTCCTTCACCAAAACCTAAAGACCCAGCAGCTTCCCAAAGCATGTTCTATTGACTCTGTAGATATGGCTTCTAACATAATCTGAGAATGACTCCAGTAAGTCAGACCAAAGTCTCATGTCTGACAGTGATCTGTCTGCAGATGCCTGAGAAGACAGTAAGGCCAGGACAATCATGCAGTGGTAACCCCTTCAGTATGATCCCCAAGCTGTCAGTGGCTTTGCAGTTTAGGGTAGCTGAGGCCAATGTCACCCTGTTTTCCTACAGCTTTATCTGGTTAGGTTTTGAGCACACACAGACATTTGGCTTCTACAGTGTTCTGTAATAATGCTTAATTAGGAAAATTTTTGTTTTGGGGGTGCCTGATAACCCGATGCTTGCCAGATCTTGTGTTACAGAGATGAGCTATCACTTCTTATCTTCTTGGTCACCATCCTTCTGTGCTTGTCCTCTGCTCCCCTTCTCCCTGTCCTGAGTAAGAGTCCCAGTCTGTTTCTTGTATACACATGGTTCCATAGTTTTTATAGTTCTTGTTTCCCCTTTCAGAGCCTTTCTGTTGGAGGGCTTTGAGTTGAGGAAGCCATAGCAGCACAGATGCAGTGTATGCTTATAGCAGCATAATTCCATTTGGGTTTATTATGTGTCTATTACTGTTGTAATTATTAAGAACCTGCTTTTTTGTTACCTAGCTGCTGCCTGAAAATAGACCTAGTATATTCATGAGACTGTCTGCAGTAACAACCTGTTTCCTGTGCAATAATGGCAGATTTAGGGTCTGCTGTCCAGGGTGGTGTCTCTTCCTCCATGTGCCTTTATCATTGTGGTACCTTCCTTCCTGTAAGACCACTTTTCTTGAGAACTACGTGAAAATCCAACTGCACTCTGTCGGCTGGGTTACTTTCTGCAGAGAGCTCTTACAAGTTAGTGAGGTACCACTTAGAATCACAGACTGATTTGGGTTGGAAAGGACCTTAAGATCATCTAGTTCCAACCCCTGCCATGGGCGAGGACACCTCACACTAGACAAAGTTGCTCAAAGCCCCTGTGTCCAACCTGGCCTTGAACACTGCCAGGGATGGGGCATTCGCAGCATCCTTGGGCAACCTGTTCCAGTGCCTCACCACCCTCACAATAAAGAACTTCTTCCTTAGATCCAACCTAAATCTCCCCTGTTTGTTTGAAGCCATTACTGCTTGTTCTTTCACTGTAGTTCCTGATGAAGAGCTTCTTTCCAGCATCCACTTCTGTTTATAAAACCTGTATTGTCTCTTCAGTGCCATAGTTGACTGTGCATGTACTAACTGACTATAGTGAATTCTTCACAGGCACCAGAAGAAAGTAGAATCATAGAATTGTTGAGGTTGAAAAATACCTTTAAGGTCCTCGAGTGCAACTGTTAGCCCAACACTGCCAAGTCTACCACTAAACCATGTGCTTACGATTAATAACATTGCACGCTCTCTGCAGCTGGCATCAGTGTTCTGGGAACTTGGACACACAGATTTGGAATCCATTTTCTAGTACTTATAATAGCTTGAAAATACTTTGCAAGCAATAGATCTCAGGGTATGCATTAGTTCCTGAGGCTATGTGGCTATCTTCCGGAAAAACTGAAGCAGATTAAGGAGTGTTACATCTTTCAGTATTTCAAACTACTGCTTGTCCTGTGATTAAAAGAGATTATGTAAGAGTACATAATTACTCTTTCACAATCTATTTTCCCAGGTGATGGCATTAATTAGTAAAATATTATGTATCAGAAATAAAAGACTGTTAGAACTGTGGGCAAATGTAATGGCAATAGAGTTTATGGGAAAAGTCTGTACTCACAGTTTCATTTCTAAAAGAAGTAAATGCTCTTTTTGCCCACTTATTTTCAAAGGAATGAGAAAAGAAAAATAATAATAAAGGTATATGGACCCTGCTTCAGATTTAATGTGGTGTTATATTGTGACATTTTCCTGCATATATTGAACTGCCCATTAGTCTATCGTATAATTATATTGTCATTCACTTTCACATACAACCTTCCAAGATACTGCAAAATGTATTTTAGTTATCTGCAGATTAAAGGAAAGATACTTGACAGTTAAGGACAAAACACAAATGCACATGTTATATTTATGTACATGTATGTGTAAGTCTGAATTAGGGACACATTTTACACATAAAGCCCCCACATGTAGATCTACATATATCTGTAATAACAGTTTCAAATTTTTACTGTAAAAAGAGATTGTTGTAGTGCCATATACTAAGATGTGAAACCAATTGGAAGTGTTCAGGTTCTTTCCCAGGAGGTTTCTAGAAGTGATAGAACCACCTTTGAATTAGACTCTTCAGAATGATTTAAATGTTCTTTCAAATTCATTGTTACAATTAAGCATTCAAGTATGTTGCCTGATTTATTTGCAAGTCCTTACAACTGCTTTAAATGTGCGTTAATTTTTTGAGGGTGCTTGGATTTAAAAGCATTTGGTACAAGAATTTGGAAGTATTTGTTTGAGTAAGACTGCATCGAGATCAGTGACACCCAGGTTCTGAATTTTTTTCTCTCTCCTGCTTAATGATTGGAACTTTGGGATGGAAAATACTTAAATACACAATTTAATCAAGATGTGACTCTTCAGTAAGTGGATTTAATGATATATGGAGAAGTGCTTTCCTCAACAGCATGAAAACCAAGAAATGTTTTAGCTTGAGCTACCATATACAGCATGTGGAAGAATGTGGGATATTCAGGTTTTAGGAACTGATTGAGTTTTATTCTTATTTATATATATTTTATTATAATTCAAGAAATTAATTGCTCAGAAAACATAAAGCAAGCTTTTGTACTTATGTGAGAAGAGTCCTGTCTCAAAGGTACCTTGCATCTAACTGCAGGTAAGGTAAGGTGTTGTGTCTGATACCGCTTATTGACCTCAGGATATGGATTGTAGGATTTGCTTCAACAGTAAAATGCTGCCTAGTTCAGGGTTTTGGTTGTTGGATTTTTTTTTTATTTTGTTTTTTGGGGGGGGTTGTTTTGTTTTGTTTTTTTTTTTAGAAAAGGCTTTTAGAGGAGACTTCAATATTTGTGGGAGAGGTGGGGGAGGTTCTTTTTTGGTCTTCAGAGTAGATGTTTTGAGTTGCTTTTACATTTTCAGATTTAACAAAAAGATGAATTTCCTGCAACATCTCAGAAAACCCTTACGTTTTCTTTGGGTCCCTCTATAGTGATCATAGCTCATTGTCATAGCTGATGTAAGCTGCAACTTTTTTGTGTCTTGTTGACAGTTTCTCTAAGGTTTTAGTAACAAAGCAAACAAACAAAAAAAATCTGTGCAGCCTTTTAAAGCTTTTTCTGTCCTGGCTCCACTGGAATTTAGTAGTAGTGAGAATGAATTTTACCTGAAGTGATCCATGCCTGAAGGGTTAGGCTGTGATTTAGAGTACCATCTGCTTGCTGTCTGTGGACATATCACTGTGTGACACCTAGAAATGCAGTGCCATTTAAATCAGAGGAGAGAAATCCCAGCCTTCCTTGGTTTCTGCTTGGTTCTAATTAATACTAGTTCTGTAAAGCTAGCCTACAGCTAAACAGTTTTAAAAGATGACATGAACGTTTTGTTCTCTCTACCTTCTAGTTTTCTTGCTGGTCTGATACAGCTCTTGAAACTCTTTGGACCTGAAGGCTCTTGTCTCTTGTTCCTGAGACTGAGACCCTGATAGGTTAATGAATTAATTGTATTAAACCATAAAAGTGTGTATTTTCCTTCCACTGCCTGTGAAGAAGAGTTTATCTCATTAATCCTGTTAACGCTTTTCTTAGATGGCTTCTGGAGAGACCCAGAGAAGCACATTAACGTCTGAGATGGATTTGGATTAGATTTAGTGGGGACTGGACTTTATCTTGTGGAGGGGAGAACCTGCCGATGGTTCTTTGCTTAGTAGCCCTTGGCCGTGTGGGTCTGACATTGTGGCCCTAGTGCTGGCCCCGTAGGAGCCTCCCTGGGCTCCTTTCTCTCCCGTGCATTGTACTCAGCAGAACAGACCGCTCCATTGCAGACCAATGGCAGCTGCTTAATGCTGTGCCGGAGCTGGCAGCTCCTGAGGAAATGAGGAAAATGCTGATTGCTGCCTCAGTATGATCTGTGCCTGTCCTCAAAGCTTTTTCTTTTAGTGTCCAAGCTGAGGAGTTAGAGTTTTTAGTAACCAAGTTTCTGCCAGTACTGATGTTGTTTCCCTGGCACAGATTCTGATTTGCTGAATGCTTTTTTGTGAGTCTTTCCAGCAGAGCAGATGTGGGCTGTCGAAATGTGGGCCATTGAAATGGGTAGGTGTGAGAGGGTCAGCAGCCGTAAAACAGGCACTTATAAAGAGCAGGTGTAATTGGCAGGAGAGCAGGAACAGAAGGAGCTGTGAGGGATAACACAGACTGAAAAGCTCCATGTTTGTGTCACAACAGAAGGAACTGTTGTTAAAGTTTCACAAAAGGAAATTGTTGTGCTATCAATGGCATTCCAGCTGCGGGGGGGTCATGCAGTTAAGCTGCTCAGGGTTTTTAAAAACACATTGGGTGCTGTTCTAGGCATTGACTTCTGGGATTGATTTGTTCATCATCTTCATTCCCTGTAAAGGAAATAAATATTTCATCTCTCAAGGCTGTACCCGGACTCTCCAGGCTGGTTTCGGCCTTAGCTCTTGTACGTACTGTCCAGCTTGTGGTGATGAAGTCATGATGTGAATCTGCAGAAGTGAAAATCTGGTTAGGCTTACTGAGCCAAGAGGAGGAAGACAAAGAATGGAAAAGAAACCCATGGGATAATAAGCTCTGTTAGGGATATAATAGAAAGGAAAAAGGCATAAAGAGCAGCTGAGATGTAAATAGCAGTGCAGTTTGAGGTGGATCTGGTAGAATGAATGTGTGCTATAGATTATTTTTACTAAAACTTACAAGTTTTCTTCAGGAATAAAAACCTATAAAGTTGTGGTATAACAATGTAGAAGTCTTAACAGGAAAAACTCAGGAGTAGCTGGTAGTGATAGGAAACTTTGACAATGTGGTGAAAAGGCAAATTGAATGGGTATAGTGCTGCTTGGCTCTGCAAAAATAACCAGCAACAGCAAAGGGAATCAGTGTTTCCTGAATTTAGTGTAATGTTTCTCTGCATATTGGCAGAAATAAATGAATAAAAGGAAGAAAGTTGTCATATGTTGTTAGGTTTTCCAGAGTCCCTTTGAAATAGTAAAATAGTTAAAGTAAGCAACAGAAGTAGTAAGAGGGATAAGGTTAATAGAAAACAGTAGTGAATCCATACTGAATACAACGAATTATATACTTCACTGGGTAACTTGTTAGGAGACTACAACTTTGAATACTGCCTTTATGTATGGTCCTGCTTCTCCTTTCTCACCTTCCTTTTAACTCCAACATCGATTTGAGATTGTTTAGTTGCAGACCGATGCTAGAAACAACCGTATGTGTATATTATCACTGCAGCATAAAGAAGGATGCTGATTCAATAATGGTAATGAAAGTATATAAAACCTAGAGGAAAAGTACCAGCCAATGTGATTGTTCAGTTGTATTTGGAATGAAGTGGGGGGGAGCATTGTTCTTAGAGATCTATTTTCCGGTCATCCATTCTTTGAGATGTAGTAGTGCTCTAATCTTCTAAAGCGGAGGCTTCATTTTTGATAAAGGGTGCCCTTGTATTGCAGGTATGACTTCAGCTGTTGCTGGTAGGGATAGAAATCTGCCTAAAGCTGCCTAGGGTAAAAACCTTTCTGTGGCATCTTGGTGCACACACACTCAGTCGATACTTCCTAAGGTGCCAGAACCTCCACAGGCTGTTCCTGTTGGCTCAGTTCCGACATAACTCTTGGCTCATGCTTTTGATTGACACATGTATCATCTCAAATGTCTGAGTATGTCCTCAGTTCACTCTGCAAACAGACAAATACTGGTACGAGGGGTGGTGTGAGCTGTGAGGGGGAAACTGGTTGGCACAGCGAGTGGGCAAAGGTGCTGCTTTCTAGTGACAGCACTGGCTTATCCTGACGCAGAGCAAAAGCCTGTGTTGGTCTGTCATCTCTGATCCTGAGCTGTAATTGCTGCTGTGGGCTTAGGTGAGGTTTCGTAGGGTAACTTGAAGTTTCTTGTGGTTTGTGATTTTGGCTGGGCAGGAGTAGAGAGGAGCAAGGAGAGACCAGGAGGCTTGGAGCAGGGAGAAGAGTGATCAGCAAAAACAGGCTGCTGGGATGGACCCAGGTGTCTCAAATGTTGTCAGAGTTTTTAGGTAAGAAGATGTGTTTCCCACTCATTCATAGAAAGGACAGCTAACACAACTCAGCTGTCTTTCTCTACTGCTCTCCCTAGATGTGTCTAACATTTGGAGAAAAAGTGATGAAGGCATTAGGAATTCAAAGTGAAATATGTTTGATGGAGATTCCCTTCTGGTTGAGTGCTCTGAAACTTCTTCAGTAGGCAAGCAGTGATTTCCTGCTGGAGCCTTCTCTGACAGAAGGATGAAATACCAAACTGAGTATCAGCATTCGACAGCCTAATTTCGTTTTTCTTATTTAAAAGGAATGTATCATGCCTTGCATGGGGTCTCACAGAAAGTTGAGATTTGAGGGGGGGAGTTAAGCCTGAAGCCATTTGGGCCCCTGCACAGCTCCCATAGGAGGCTGTCCCTCTGTGGCAGGGGCTGGCGCGTTCAGCAGCCGTGTGCTTGGCAGTCTGTAGGCTGGGGCATGGCTTAGTTCAGCTGGGTGAGCTCATCTCTGTCGTGCAGCTCCTCGGAGCTTCCTCTGTACTTGCTGCGGTGATGAGAGCGGGGCCCTGGTATCTGCAGCTCCGTCAGCTGGCTCAGTGTGCTCATGGGTCACAAAGGAGCCCTGTTCCCGCAGGACTGGCGCTCCATGCGTTTGCTGGGGCAGCTTCCCTGGGCTTGTGGCTGTTCCCCTCTCTGGAAAGCCAGAGTTGCCTTCAGCTGCGCAGCAGTCAGCCCTCAGGTAGCAGACTCCACCAGTAACACGTGCCGTGGGTAAAAGGTCCCTTTAGAAGTGCTGAAGAGAGTCAGGAAATGCAATGCTGGCAAGGAATGCAATCAGTAAGTGTAGGAGTGGCGGGAAGCCTATGGGCAGGGGTGAGCTCTGTACTCCCCAGAATCACTTACTGAGCTCTGGATGTTTCTTCTGTGTTCACAAACTGGAAAAAACCCCAACCAAACCACTGAACAAAACAAAAACACCCCTCCAAAACCCAAACCGAACAACCAACACCCCACACCAACAGAACAACCCCCGAAACCTCAGAGCTCCACACCAACAGAAATAACAACACAAACAAACTCCAAACTCTTCAAACTATAAAATGAAAGTAGCTGTAATTTAGTCAGAGGAGAATGGGGAGAGAAGATAGATGAGAAACACAGACACTTCGTAGCTGAAGATGTTGGGGAATATGCAGAGCCAGTAGAATTAAATGTTCAGATGAGGACAATTAGAAAGTGTTCAGATACAGCAGGAGTGGAAATTCAAACTTCAGTACTGTAAGAATCACTGTACAGAAAGGGCTGCTGGTTTTAGTTTAAGAACAGAGGGCTGAGGAGACATCCTGAGTTTCTGATTCTGTTCCCTTTCTCTTGCTGGCAACTCTACTGTTTAGTTATTACTATAAAATCATGAAGTGCTGTTACAATTCTCTCAGATCTCCTTTTCAAAAACACAGAGCAATACTGTCACTTCTTCGGTGAGTAGAACAGGAACATTAATTTGGTAGCAGTCAGGCAGCCACTATAAAATACTCTCGAGTGTTCAGAAGTGTGACACCAAATGCAACAAAAGGTGATTTTTAGCGGGGCTTTGAAATGTTTTGACCAACTTAAAATCAGTTTTTGTTTTTGTATGAGGTGTATTTTAAATCTGTTTCAGGAAATATCCTTCAGTATCACAAAATCTTCACTGGATGTTGGTTTTTGTTTTTCCCCCACCTCCCCCTCTTCTGCAGTTCTCCTGCCTTTGATAGATCGTATGGGAGATGCCAAAGACCAAGTTCGGGAGCAAGCACAGAATCTTATACTGAAATTGATGGACGAAGCAGCACCACCCATGGTATGATTACTTAATGTAGGTTCAGATGGAAGCCTCCAGTGGGCTTACGAGTTGTGTATGAGCTTGACTTTGATTATGTGACAGTGTTGTGGTGACTGTTATGGTGCAAATGCTGAAGATATTCTTCATGGGGTAACACTGATGCGTTGTTCAGCTGGAGATGAAAATCTGGCAGTGCAGTTCTGCAGTCTTTGATATCGGCTGAATTCTGAGTAGATGTTTTTGTGTCATGTGGCAGAACTTTGTTAATTAAAGCGTGTTTGAAGCATCCTCCTGGCTTTGAGTTTGCATAATGGGAATAAATAAGTTTCTTTAGCTCTGAATTTGTTTTAAAATTAGCTTTATACTTGAACATGTAGGAGTAGTCCTGCAGTTGAGGCCATGCATTCTAATGTAGAAAACATGGCTTTCTAGATGTATGACAGACACTCTGTGTACCTTGGGCAAACTGAGGGGGGAGGTAAGGTGCCCTCTTGATTTGTGTTAGGTTGAAGTTTGAGTTAAGCAAATTTTTTTACAGCTCTTAGCATTAGGTGGCTTCCAGCCTCGGAAGTTAGCTGCTCAATCTTACAATTTCTACTCTGTGAGTGAAAAATGAAGGATTGTTTAACAGGGTTATATTGTTCGAGCAGTGGTGTTACTTGGAACTCTGGGGATCCTGGTTGTCAATAGGGACTTACTATTTGAGTTTTTAGTTTCTGAAGAAAATCTGTTCTAAGTGCAGAAGTTTATAGGGAACACCTTGGGTTTTGTGAACAAAAATAAGGTTCTTTTGTGTGCTAATTCCTCTCTTGTTTTATTCATAGATACAGATTTGAATGTTTGTGTGCAGAGAATAAGATTTTGCAGACTTGATTTGCAGTCAGAAAACTGTTCTCGGTTGCTTTGTTTGCCTGATAGGGAAAAAGAGGCATGTCTGGCAAATATAGAAAAGTATTTATCTCCCTTCCAATGTGAGGCATTTTCTCGCATGATTTGGTCACAGATCTGACTGGGGTTTAGGCATCAAAGTCTAGTGGTTTCATCCCCAGAGACATGCCTTGACCTTTTCAAGAGATCTCATTTTGATTGTAGTCATTGACAAAGAGACATTGCAGCATTTTTTCATGCCCAAGTGCAAGTAGTTCATGAGTGATGAGTTCCTGTGCCCAAGATTCTCCGATGCACCTGACATTGAGACCTGAAAGTACACCTGCCTCTACAGTAATAGCATGTGGATAAATGCAGAGCATCTTGGAGACACCTTCATTTGAACCACTGCTGATAAAAAATGTGGTGATAGTTGCTTTGTGCTAGGCCCTCATCATGAAGGTGCTGTAGATGACTGGTCTGTCTTCTGGCCTGTGAAGAGTTGCTAGGCTGAAGGTTGTACGCTGAGGTCATGGAAGGAAGCTTCCACCCCCTTTGAAGCTTACTCACAGTGTCAGAAAGAATACTAGGTTTGTGGCATGGAATGAGCAGCATGTGTAAGTAAGAGAAGGTATGGCTCTTGTGGTAACTCCCCTAGGGTGGAAGAAACACCACGTCAGTCATTTGCTCGCAGGACAGCTTATGTATCATTTGGATGAAAAGCATTAATCGTCCTCACAGCAGGGACAGAAACAGAGAAGTCTCTCCTGTGCCTCCAACATTGAAATACAGAGTTGTAGGCTCCCTTTGCTGCGGAGAAACATCCTTTTGGAAGAACTGGGTGGAGTAATCTTTTGGGGATAAGTCCTGTAAGTTTCTTTCCAATCAACTCCTTTTGTCTGTTCTAGTGTGTTGTTGAATAATATTGAATTTGTTCTGTTGCCAATTCCCTTTTCTTGTTTTAGATGTGTTTGATTGCTTTTGTTCGTTTGGGGTTTTTGTATGAGCGAGAACTAGACAGAGCTGGTTATGGGCAGGAAAGCATAAAAATAAGAATATAAGTGGTATAAATGCATGAATGGGACAAAGGAAGGTTGACATCAACTGTTGCTAGAGACTTGTGAGAGTTGAAATTTCTAAGCAGCCATTTAGATTTCTCTGTAAGAATTCAGTTATTAAAGTAGGGTGAATTCAGTGAATTTCTTTTCAGCCTTCTTTGTTTGTTTCAGCACCCTACAGCTCCCTCCCTCCCTGTATTTTTTTGTACACCTAGCATGGAGACCTCTGTTTTCCCATGTTTGTCCAGGACAGTGGGGCAGTTGGAAGGATGTTTTCTTCCATGAAATCCTGCTGTTTGTTGTTAATCTGTGCAGTTTTGACAAGCTGTATCCTGCTCGTTTAAGCAGAATGTAATAAAATATAAACCAACCAAACAAGAAACCACAGATGGGACAAAGTGATCAAGCAGGGCTCTAACTGGAGAGTTTTTATGTCTGCTGTGAACTATGCTGCCTCATGAATGGAGAGGATGCGGTGTTCCCTGGCTGTCTTTGTTGACGAGTAGCTGTTTGGGTTGGTTTTATTGAGGAGGGTGAACAGACTGCAGTCATTCCCATGCAGCACACCTCCGCAGATGCGTACGGAGGGACTGCACGCTGCAGCGGCCCCATCCGGAGCAGGAGCGAGGGTGGTGCCTGGGCTGGGCGATGTGCAGCCATCGCCAGCAGCTTCCCGGTGCTGGGGCTGTCATGGCAGCGCTGCTGCTGCATCTGCGCCCGAGCACCGCCGGGAATCCCCAGCCCCGTAAGCTTCACCCTGGCGCATCCTGCACCCTGACATACAGCTAGAGGAGGACACGGGGATGGACAGGTACCTTTAAAGATACATGGAGGAGGGAAGGGCTGAAGGCAGGCAGGGGAAAACTGAGTGCGCAAGAGGGTAAATGAGTGTTGGGAGAGTCAGAGCACGGAGAGCGGCACAGCACAAAAGGAGGAACGAAAGCAGAGCAGAAATGGAAGCGAGGGAATTAGCATGAATGGGCTAAAAGAAGTGATTGACACAGGAAGAAGTAAATTTAAAGGAGAAGCAGGGGAGAGTTGGACAGCAGGAGTGTGGGTAAGGGTGAGCTGAAATCAGTGAGAGGACATTTTGGCAGGGAAACAGAATATGAAGCAAAAAGGATATAGCAACTTCTGCTTGAGTAAGTGGTTTGTAGTGTTAGTGTTTGCTTAGTGTGTGTTAACTTGCAACAGTTCTGTATGTTTTTAAGAGCTGTTGCTCAAACAAACAAGACAAATACTCAGGTACATTTCTGAGGGGTGTTTTTAGAAATTGTTTTTGGCATGGGAATAATTTGTGTTGTGTTCCATGCTGTGCATTTTGTAACTTCATTTCGTCGGAGAAGTGCCTTTACTTCTCCGGTGGACCTGTCTTCTGTTGGTTTTTTGCAACTGTTATGAATGTAATTATGAAATATAGAATTACATCTTGTTGTGCTCCTGGTAATCAAAGACAACTATTTCTGTTTTATAGCACATTTGGGAACGCCTTGCTGTTGGATTTAAACACAAGAACTACCGATCCCGAGAAGGAGTGTGTTTGTGTCTTGTTGCTACCTTAAACATGTAAGCTTTGTGTTTCTATGGAGATGTAATGGTTCTACCCTCCTTCTGAATGGCATTCTTCTCTGAAACCAGTACTTGAAGAAGTCTGATTCAATTAAATTGATAAATGGGAAAAATCAAACCATTTAACTTGTGAGAGTTCTGAAAGAAAGACTGAAGCTGTAGTATTTGAAAGTAGACAAAGGACTAGTAAGAGAAAGATAGAGCCTGATTGATGTTTGTATTTTATCAGTGCTAAGCTAAAAATTTACTTCTGCGTAAAGTATTTTCTGTTCTTCTGTTAAAAAAAAAAACCAAAACAAAAGATCAAAACCAAGAAAACCCCATAAAAAACAAAACAGAACCCCCCCACGCATTTAACTTACATGTTTTACTTTAACTGTTTTTTATTATTTTTAGTTATGGTGCACAGTCATTAATTCTCAGCAAGTTGGTGCCACATCTGTGTATAGCGCTTGGTGACTCAAATAGTCAGGTAAGGGTGTCATTACATACTGGTGCTTCTACAGCCATACCTTGGCAGAGGAATGAAAGTAAAATAAATGTAGATTAAATGTAATTAAATGTAGAATAAATGTAATTAAGAACAGCCAATACGCTTGCTTGTATACAACAGATCATTATTTTCTACCATGAGGAACAATAAACCCATTTTCTTCTGAATCAGTCTATCCATTGGCAGATGAAAGCAGAGCTGCACAGGGAGCAGTGTTGTGATGTACTGGCCCCTTCAGTTTTGTCTTCGGAGGCTGGTTTGTCATTACAGTTGTTTCTCAGAGAGCATGTTGAAAGGAAACTAAAAGGAATGTATTGGCGGGAAGGGTTGCCTCCAGAAGGAGCACCTTCATGAGACCTGTAACAGCCTGCCGCATTTGCTGAAGATACCGTTATCGTGTGTAAAGGTTTCCTAAATGGGGCCCAAATGGCATTTGAGTACATGCAAGGACTGTAGTTAAAAACAGTTCATTAAACAAAATTAAGATGTAGTTTATAATGGTGATAACTGAACTTCAGAAAACCTTCAAATAGAAACTAATAACATCTCAATTTATCTGAAGTTGTATCTGAGAGAGAAGGCCAAGAATACAGTAAGGAAGAAGGTAGCGTTGGTAGGAGATGGACAAATAAACAGGATATGCTTTATGCTTGATTCTGGATGCAGCAAAGTCCTTGCCTCCTGTATAGCTCAGCATTGTTCTAGTGTAGAGAAAATCTGTTATGAAATTGTTCTGTTTGTTGATCACTAGAATAAATGTAGCTCATATCTTGATAGAGCAGTTGTGGGTTTAGTTCTAACTGTTGCAAAGAACAACACTGAAGTAATTCCAGGAATTCTTTATGGAGAATAATGGCATTTACTAACATGCATTTTTGGCAGTTGTTGTTGTGATGACTATGGTTTAAGATTCTTAAAGAGGCACTGTCTGCATGCTTTAGCAGCTCTTCCTGTCTTGTCTTTCTTGTGTTAATATGATGGTAATGCCTGTTGAAGAAAGTAAAGGAAATGCTGATTCTTGGGGGCAGTCAGGTCCTTGGTTTTCCAGAAGGGCCTCACTGCATGTGGAATTAGATGAAAGCAAGGTGGAGTGTCAGGACTGAAAGTAGGGATTAACTTCAGGAAGCACTGCCCACTGTGAGAGAGCCCTAAATAAAGCACTGGGGTTTTTTTCCCCCTCACGGATATTATTCTTATGTCAATCCCAGAAATTCCCTCTAGAGCTGTTGTTTCTAGGATTTTTCATTTACCATCTGGAGATGCTCTAACTTGGAACAAATACCATCTTGAAATAACAGTTGTATCTCCTTTCGCTTCCATCCTTACTGTTGCAACTGTTTTGTGCAATAAGTTGGCATGCAGGTCGAGGGAAACTGGAAGGTTGTCAGCAAATGTTGGTTTGGTTTCTGTAACCCTGAAGTGAATAATTTAATCTGCATCCACAGGTGAGAGATGCTGCCATACTAGCCGTTGTAGAGGTTTATCGGCATGTGGGAGAGAAAGTACGACTAGACCTTACAAAGAGAGGAATTCCTCCTGGAAGGTGAGTTAGCTGTTGTGATTTTGTAATCCTGAGCTGCTCTGTGTTGCTGTTCTTTATCAGAACTCTAAATTCATTAAAAACTTTGGTTTAAAATGACTACAGTTTGCATTTTATCTTCTAGTTGGTTTGCTTCCATCATGATGCTCCTACTGTTCCTGGCTTTCTTTTGCTGCTTTCTTTTCTGCTTGGAAGAGGCCTACAAGCGTATGGTGGAAAGCAGCCTCACAGTCAGCAGTTAAAATCCCCTGACTTGAAAAGAAGCTGAGAGCTTGACAGAAATAGAGAAGTGCTTCAAAGTTAAGCAAATATATACTGAGCATAGTGGGGGAATAGTTAGAAAATACTTCAATAAATGCATCTTGGTCCTTCTTCTAGAGTTGCTGTTTAGCCTCAGTGTAGAAGAGCCTCAGCTGAAGCACTTAAATCAATACTTTCATATATTGTGCATGTGGGAGAGAGAACAAGTGTGTGTGTGCAATGAGAGGTGGCAAACCAACAATCTACTACTTTCTTGAAGATACTTATAATGGAAAAATTTACCTGACTTGCTTCTTGCTAATCACATCAGACCAATCCTTTCCAGCCTAGATGCTTGCTTATGGGGTACAGTGAGATGATAGAGCTGCTTTTCAAAATGACTGCTTCCCAGTTCTGAAGCTGAAGTTCTGGGGTTGGATGAGAAAGCAGTGTCCAGGAGGAGCGTTCACTGCTCTAACTGCTACACATGCTATCACAGGACATGGGATCTTACTTGCCAAAGGTGCAAAGAAGTTTTGAAAATGCATGTTTCATTGGCCCATTCTCTTTCTGAAAAGCAGTTCTGAACTTTAAAGCTGGTCTGCGTTGTGTGTAGATTAGTTTGTCTGCAATAAAAGTAGCTGTTGTTTTGTTGCTACCTTGGTAAGGAGTTGTTTAAGTAAGAACGCTAGACAGAGCTTGAAACAGCCCCGAGTGGGCAATTCTGTTTGTGCAATAAAATATTGCAGATTCCTTAGTGAAACAATTTATACATTTAAAGATGTATTAACCCCTTGACAATTAACATACCACTTCACTCCCGAGTCTTCATCTCACTTCTGGATTTTGACAAAGCTGAATATATCTACTGTGTGGTGTCAGAGAGAATATCGGAATGGATCCTGTGCCTCATCACACACCTTCTGAAAAAACTTTTAGCCCTAGTTTTTAATGATGATTTGTGTAGTATCAAAATACCACAGGGCACAGGTGTTGAATTTACTGTTTCACGTTCCAAGGGAGAGTTCAGCCTGTTTGGATAAAAGCTTACCCTGCCTATGGGAATTTGTACACATTCTCTTCTATTTAATGGCTGTCTCAATTTTGGACTATTAAGAGATTTTATGGTTAGCACGGAAGTTTAAGCTGCATTATTACTACAATTCCAACAGTTGAGTTCCATGGCAGATGACTGGAACATACCAGAGAAGATCCTTCTTGCATTAAGATAGGGTCTTGGACACCTTTGGAGCAGAGAGTAAGAGCCAAAGAGTGCAGATAACAGCCTTTGTTTATGCTGTGAGTGTTGGGTCTGACCATAAGTTTAGGTTCAGCATTCTTCATGTTCACATCTCCGTGAGATACAAACTGAGTAAATCTTGGGATCCAAATAGGGCTAAACACCATAGGAGCTTTGTGTCCTCAGGGTAATCAACAGCTTCTGAGTTAGTTGCAGTAGGTGCCGAGTTGATACTTGTCTGACTCAGCTGAGTGCAGAATTGCCCCGATCTGAAGTAGCACACTTGTACTACTGGCATTTGCATAAAGAAGCAAGGCTCGACTTGGTGAATCTTAAACGGGTCGTTGCCACTCCATCTCAACCGTCTTGTACCTGACAGTCAAGGCTAGTGTCAGGTAATACATGGGCTGAGCCTGTGCTGTGTCCTCTGCAGCAGTTTTCAGGCTGGGATGAAGGGGGGGGTTTCAGTGTACTTGAGTTACACATAAGGCTCCTCGTCTCTGTCCCTTCCATTGCTGACAGGAGGCAGAGTCCCCGTAGTCTGTTCTTCCTCCTTCACAGAAGCAACGAGGCGGTTGACAAAGCTCAGGACAGACAGATTAGCTCTATGGTAGCTCAGGCTGTTGGTCCTTCAGAGGCAGACCTACTGTAAGATTATCTCTTCCCCAGGGCCTGTCAGAAGTTTCCCCTTAGATGCATTAAAATGTTCATGTGGTTACGCAGGAGCTACAACCTATGGAATAAAGCCCTTTGATATGGTATATCGTCTTACTGTTTTGAGGCCAGTCTGTGTTCACATTTGTGTGTCTGGGTAGGTTTTAAGGGGTTTAAGTACTACGGATAATCTGTAGTTCTGACATGGCTGCTTTCGGTTGTGGGGTTCAGCCTCAACTGCACTGCAGCTCCTTCACTGTACAGCAGTGCATTACAAACTGTGTGTGAACATAACTGTTAAGAGAAAACCCTACCACTGCACTATCTGGTGCACATGTGATTGAGTAGAATGGAGGCTTGTTTAGTTTACATAACAAATTACACATTTGAGATCTGTGTGTTGCTGCTTGAATGCACTCTGCCCTAAAGCCCTGAAAATAAGAGCTCGTGTCTGCTGGAAGGAAGGCAGGAAAGTTAATCAGGCATTGTTCGGAGAAATTGTTCAACTTCCTTAAATATGCAAATGGCATATGCATGTTGTGTCTATATAAGGCCGAATGTGGTTAGTCATTTAATAATAGTAGGCTTACAAGGTTTTGTAATCTGCACCTGGTAGGTTTGCCTTTGTGGAAAACACTGGATTTTCTAGGGAAGGTTATTGGACGTGTTGGAGTCTAGGTAGGCAATAAAAGATGATTGGATCTTACTTTGGTAGTTCAGCTTTATTTGCTATTACTGTAGTTTTCTTCAGTGCATCTTCATACTTTACAAAGATTAATTTGTGAGTTTATTAAAACAATCGGTGAGTTCCTCTTCCTGTTTGTTATTCTTTCAGCTTGCAAATCTCAGAATAACGTTGTGCTTTCTGCCTGAAGCACAGTCCTTTTTCAGAAAAAGCAGTGTGGAGTCAGTGGTTGGAAATTTGGATGTGGTTTTCCCTTTCGTTAAGGTTGCTGCCAAAGAGGTTTGATGGTCTTTTATCAGGCGTGGAAGTATTAGCGCTGATAAATTTGTGAATACTGAAAGTGGACGTTGTGTTTCTTGTTCTTGCCAAGAATAGTGAATGGGTTTTGTTCTATATGGGTCAAACTGAATTTGTTACAGTGTGGAATCCATGTGGCCGATCATCCCTGAATGGCAGTCGTGTGTGTGGTTCTGGACAGCAATTGCTTGGTGTGAGCATTAAAAGCTTTTAAAGGCTTTTCAGGCAGCCATCTGACAGCTTTTCCCACTGTTACTTGAGAAACATAAATGTATAAACCCAATTATTTCTTTAGTTCTTATGTTGAAGGCCACAACTTTACATCCTGTAAAGTTAAAGCATTTTGCAGTATGCATTTCTGTATACCACGTTTCATGTGGTATGCACATTCTACTTATCTGTCTAGTTCAGTGCTGTAGATGAGGTCCATCTGTGGACACATGTTTGTGCAAGATCGGTTTTTTGGGGGGTTTTCTTTTCTTTCTTTTTTTTTTTTGGAAACGGGAAGTAAGGAGAACTAAGTGCAGGGTTTCATATGGGCCATTTCCTGCTTTAGACTCGCTCTGGATATGAAGAACAGACTAGCCAGCACCCTTTCTTTATCTTCCTGCTGTTGTCAGGGCAGTGGTGCTCTTTTGCCTCTGCATCACAAGCTCCAGACTTTCAGGTATCTCTCTCTGCAGCTGGACAGTGAATTATGTCAGGACAAACCTGTTGCTGATGTGGGGGTCCCATTTGTTCTGGGAGATACTTCACTGCTTTTGCTGGGTTTTCTACAGGAGTGGTCAGAAATGGCTGTTCAAGTGCTTTGCCAGCTTTCTTGCTTGAATAACATTTCCTACCCCGTGGGACTAATTTGCCAGTCTGGAGTGTTTGGGGTTTTGGTTTTGGTGGGGTTTGTTTGGCTTTGTTTGGGTTTTATTCTGTTTGGTTGGTTGGGGTTTTTACTTTCTTTCTTATTTTCACATAGCTCAGCACTTACAGTGTGGTTTCAGTTGTGAGAGTTCAAATCAGTGCTGTGCGTGTCAAACATAACTGAGGTGTTCAGTGTACCTTAAGTTTAGGAAAAAGTCTTGCCTTTGTTTTGCTGTGGAAGTGGTAACTACTGCAGGAGTACCTTCCTACCAAAACTGAGGGTATGCTGAGGAAAATTACTGATTGTCTCACAGCAAATTAAATCCCTATTTTTTTTCCTCCCACATGAATGCTCTACAGTTCAAATTGTTGCCGTTTAGTATTGTGTATAAATAGTGATATCACAGTCATCTGAACTCAGTATATACTATTACTGAACCTGCATTTAGAACTTTAGTCATTTTTAATCATGCTTATAATGATACTCAGTTTTGTTCTTTGCTAAATTGACTTAGTTTTCTGTGCAGTTGTGTGAAGAGGCTCAGCTGAAGAGGAGTCCTTTAGGAATGGCTGCTTGATGCTCTTAATCCTTTGTTTATTCTATATTACAGCTTTATAGATTATAATGAACTGATTTCTGTTTTTACCAGTAAGCTGGGGGATTTCAGGGATGTAAAATATGTTGTTGTTGTTGTTTACAGGTTGCAAACAATATTTGCAAAATTTGATGAAGTAAGAAACTCTGGAAATATGAATATAAATAGCATCAGTGGTGAGTATGAAATATCACATATTTATAATCAGCTTTAGATCAATACAGTATTTAAATATTAGCATTTTCAGTGTGAGATGGATGATTAGAAACGTGTAAATACTAAGAAAATGAGACACAGTGAAATAAGCTTGTACTGTATTAGTGAAAGTATTTGCTGGACTGCAGACAACATAGAATTGGAAAAGGTGTTGAAACTGCATGGAAAGGAGCAGTCAATCTTTAACAAGTTACACATGTGCTCAGGAGAGGAAAAAGACCAGATGAACTGTTATCCTTTCTTATAGTATGGTTCTAGAAGAAAATGGTAATTTAATAATAGATGTGTTTTATTTCTTCTCAGTTAAAAGGATGAATAATGATTATAAGAGATGGAGTTTTAAATTACAAAAATAGGTGACTGCAGCATTTGAAGAGAAATGTTGAAGTTAAGACCTAACTGAGTTTTAGCTTTTTAGTTCTGGAATATTTCATAAAAAGAAATCCTGTTGTGCAGAGAATCCTTGTTGCTTTCTACTGTATTCTTGATATAGTATTTTATAGTATAAAAGAGCAAGACCATCATTCTTTGTTATTTTAAACTATAAGAATTAAAAAGCTAAATAACAGCACAACAATGGAGGGGCTGTGGAAGTGGCTTTAACAGAGTTGGGTTTGAAAGCTTTGTTGCTGTATGCAAGGAATGAGGAGATCTTGTTTTATAGGAGAGGGTTTTCTATCTCCCTTTCAAAGCAACTATGTTGACTGAAAAGGCTCTGATAGATCTAAAAGGTGTAACTGCGCAAGGGGAGAAATATTGTGAGGAAAGCATATGATTCATTTAATATCCTCAAATACACCTTTTAGTTTCAAGTGTTCACACCCTTGTTAGTGAGAAAACAGCAAAGACTGTAGATCCAAAGGAATGTGTTTTTACAACCTTTGAGGCAGTAAGTTTCTGTGCTGCATTCTGCTTTGAAATACAACGTTGCTATTCTTGAACACTTGGAGATTACAAAAATAGATTTGTCAGTATTAATACTAAAAACCAAAGAAAACATACTGATTTTGGTAAACCATTATCTTTTTTATTGAAAGTTAAAACTGCTGCATAGCTTTGAGACATTAAAGATGCATTTACATGTGTGTTTTTCTGTTGGTAGGTGTCAGGAGAATGGAATGAGGGAATGTAAATGCATTGAAGTAATTTTTATATATATGAAAGTACAAATACAACATTGCTGGACTAGTTTACCCAGCACTTCTGAGCTTTTTGTCTCTATTTTGAAGAGAGTTGATAAAGTTTTGGGGGTTTTTAAAGCCATTTTTATCCCATCTTTACCACGCAGATATTAATGCTGATCTACAGCAGTATATGCCATTTATTTTGTCCCATAAGTGGCAACTTCTATGCAAAAGTTACTCTTATTCTGTTTTGATACCCCAGGGACAGAATCCCTCTTTCAGTATTTTTCCTTGAACCTAGTTTATCTGTTGCATCTATCTAGAGAATTTTTTAATGTTATTGAAAAGCTTCTCTTCCATTGTTAGTGCTTTCTCTTGGCTTTGTCCTTCATTATTCTCTGAAGGACAATTTGTGTTTACTGCTTGCACATGTAGATTGAAAGTTACTGTTGAATTCCTGTAGCCTTGTTACCAACTTTTCTTTCAGGAAAAGATGTTTATCAAACATCTCTGGATAAAGGCCAAGGTTTAATGTCTAAATACATCTGTTACAGTGCTGAGGATTATTTTAGTGCTTTTGATATTCTGGAGTAGGGTTTGGGATGGCAGGAGGGGAATAGGGTTGTTTCCATAGAAGGGGGGGAAAAACCCCTTTTCAACAGGCTTTACTATAGTGAGACTGATGCAGCTCTGTATTGGGCCTTTTTACCAGCAAAAGCACTGTTTTTTTGCCGGGTGGAGTTACTTCCCAAATAAGTTAACTGTACTGATGAGGTTTCTCTTCAGTGTGCGATGGATAGGGATGGGCTTGCTGGCACAACCTGGAAGCCATCAGCTTCTTCAGCCCTGGGTGGCGCTTTCTTGTGTTGACCTAGTTTCTGAGAATCCAGAGATGTGACTGAGGATTCCTTTATCAGAGAATGCTAATGTCAATTTTCAGTCTCTTTATTCAGCATGTACTTGGGAGGGAAAGAAAAAAGAACAGAAACCTCAAAACTTGCAGCTTTAAACAATCTGAATACAAGAATGTTTTCCAGAGGATTTTAATGATCAAAACATACATTGAAAAAACAAATATTTCTACTAACAGGATTAAACACATGACAAGTATTTAAAGTATTGTGTTGGTATGCTTGGGTATGTGGGAGAGAAACACAGGGAGGAGAGGAGCCTGCAGCCTGTCGCAGCTGCAGTCTTGCACACGCTGGTAGATTTAATACCTTGTTATCCCTGTGACTCTGTTGGGGTGGACCTGGCCTGAACAAGCCCTTTAGTCTTGTGTTACCATCTTCCTTTATTGACTCTGATCCCTGATGAAACTATAAAGAGGAGGGCAAGGAGTTACCATTAGAGACTGACAGATCACCTTGGAGGGTAGACAAGGTGAAACCACATTGAAACGAGCGTGGATGGAGTATTAGGGGCAGGATGCAGTGAGGAGTTTCAAAAGCCAGCAGATGAGGAGGCACTTTGTGTAACAGGGGGACTGGGAAGGAGTCTTAGTGCTTTTGCTTGGTGAGGATGACTTTTACAGGCTTAAATAATAGCACACTGCCAACTTGCCTCTTCGAGTGACCTTTAATTTCCTTTGGTTTTTGTTCTTCACTTTATTTTTCCCTTTCCTCATCTTCCCTTGCCCTTGGATCTGGACAGGAAAAGCGGAGATCATTTCGGTAGTGTGAATTATGTGAATGAGTTAGCTGCTATGAAAACCTTGTTCACATTTGTAAAGATGTTGTGCATTAAGAAAACCCCATCAGGATGTTTGCCTGGTGAGCAGATCTTATGCATGCTGCTGGCTCTGCCTT